CTGATTATCTCTAACCAGCTCTGCCTGCCTGCCTGATCAAACCTTAACCCTCTGCCTGCCTGCCTGATGCCCCTAACTGCTCCCCTGCCAGCCTGATCACCCCTAACCACTCTTCCCTGCCAGCCTGATCACCCCTAACTGCTCTGCCTGCCTGATTGCCCCTAACTGTCTCTGCCTCGGTCCCACCACCGTGGCTTTGTCCAGAAGGATGTCTGGAAGACGTCCAGTCTATCCGGTCTAATTAGCATATTACCCTTTTGTTAGTATAGATAACCAAGATCTGGAAACAGCCCAAGTGCCCATCAGTAGACGAGTGGATAAAAAAGCTGTGGTACATTTATACCATGAAATACTATGCAGCAGTAAAAAGGAGCTCTTACCCTGTGAGACAGCATGGAGGGACCTGGAGAGTATCATGCTAAGTGAAATAAGCCAGTCAGAGAAAGACAAACACCATATGATCTCACTAATATGTGGAATCTAATGAACAAAATAAACCAAACAAAACCAGAGGCATGGACACATGGAACAGACTGACAGATCTTAGAGGGGGCTGGAGGTGTGGGTGACTGAATGAAGGTGAAGAGAGTGGCCAAAGAGCATCTACGCACAGCCCCCATCAACACAGACAACAGTGTGGTGTATGTCGGAGCAGGGGGGACGGGGCCGGGGGGGAGGGTTAGCTGCGGGCAAAGGGAGGGGGAACTGAGGGACATCTGTAATAGTGTCAACATTAAAAACAAAAGAAAAAGACAAAAAAGAAAATCTATGTTGGTCATTTTTAGTCAAGGTCACTAAACAAAGAAGTCACACTTCTAGGTTGAGGCCGATTTCAATGATAATTCCTTCAAGTCTTGTGCAGTCTCCTTCCCTCTTCTCTCTGGGTGGCCCCTGAGTACTCTGTGGTAATCCTACTCGAGGATATACCATGGAGGACTGCCTCTCCACCTAACAACTCACAGCCTGAAATGTCCAAGCAGATGATCTATGAATAGCTCCAATGTGGGAACAACTCAATGGTGACATATTTATAGTAGAATAGATAAACTGATTTAGTTATTCAGTTAAATAGGATTCAGCAATAAGAATGAATTACGGCTGCATGCTACAGCACCGATGCAGCAATGAGCCCATAGGCCTAAGCAGCAACATTGAAAAAAACATATGACATCCTTCTCTTCCACAAAGTTCAGAATCAGTCCAGCAAGCAGCTGGCAATGCAGGCCGCCACCTGGGAGGTGGGAGGGAGGATGCGTCTGGACATGTGGGCTGCACCTGCACAGAGATGACACAAGCCCTGAGAGTGGGAAGGTTATCAGGGATGAGGATAAGAAAGGACCGCACTGGTGATAGAGCCTCAAGAATCACTCAGATGAGCCACCAAGAGAGACAGATGCACAAGATTGATTGGGGGAAACCAAAAATTACTTTCTGCCCAGCCAGCATGACTCAGTGGTTGAGCATCGACCTATGAACCAGGAGATCATGGTTTGATTCCCTGGTCAGGGCACATGCCTGGGTTGCGGCTCAATCCCCAGTGTGGGGTTTGCAGGAGGCAGCTGATCAATGATTCTCTCTCATCACTGATGTTTCTATCTCTCTCTCCCTCTCCCTTCTTCTCTGAAATCAATAAAAAATAACTTAAAAATTTACTTTCTATGACAAGAGAAAGTCCTTGAGAAGAGTAAAAATGGACAATGGTGGCTGATAAGCCCAAGGCTTCTTCCACCTGTTGCAACCCAGAGTCCCCATGGGCCCAGGTGAGGAGAGGAGGTGCTGCGTGCTCACGCACGGCTGAAGCAGCTCGGGCCATGCACGTGCTTGTGTGTCAGGACTGCAGCTGCTGTGGACGCATCCCTACTCCTTGTTATTGGAAGGGAGGCGATGGACACTCAGGAGGCCAGGGGCCAAGGCGCATTCTATAGCTCCATACAGCACCCACTGAGCTAATGTTGATGTTAAAATTCTAGAGAAACCTCTCGAGTAGGACTTTAGCTAGACACATGCAAGCACGGTTAAACCGATCACCAAGGGACACTGTCAAGTCAAGCCCTCTCCCTCTTGCATGTAGCTAGCCAAGGAAACAAGTTGGTATTAATAGAATCAAGAAAAAACAGTCTTGCTAAGGTGCACGGCAGCATTTTACACGGGTCTTCAAGCACCTCCCCTCGCCCGCTGGCGGTTTAAGCTGTGTCCCAGGTTATGATTACAGCATCACGGTCTCCCCGGCTGTGTCCCCTCCCGTGGGCAACGGTAAGCTCTGCACGGCGTCAGGAGAGCCATGTGTGTACATAAGTCTGAAGGCCTCTGCTCAGTGTCTGCAGATAATTTTACAAAGTTACCCGATAAAAAAATACATAAACGTTTCATTTTCATATCAAATTATTTATAACAAACCACCTAAAGGCTGAAAATCACAAGCACATGACTATAAACATTGAGCAATCAGGTTTGGTACAGGAACACCTGTTTTCCAGAACTTTGGTGGAGAACATGTCACTGTTAACATGGCACTCCCCACACATTCCACATATGTTAACATGACACTCCCCGCGCATTCCACGTCTGATAACATGTTACTCCACATGCATTCCAATATGTTAACATGGCACTCCCCACACATTCCACATATGTTAACATGACACTTCCCGCGCATTCCACGTCTGATAACATGGCACTCCCCACACATTCCACATATGTTAACATGACACTCCCTGCGCATTCCACGTCTGATA